AATGATAAATAAATGATAAATAAATAAGAATAATCAAAAATATAATAATAATAAAAATTAAAATTAAATCAAATCAAAATAATCAAAATAAGAAATGAAAATATGAATCAAATGAAAATAAATAAAATAGAAAAATAAGAAATAAAGAAATAATAAGAATAAAGAATAATAATAAGAAAGAAAAGAAATATAAATAAACATAATAATAAATTAAAATAAAATAAGAAATGAAAAATACAATAATAATGATAAATAATAAAAATATGAAAGAATAAAGATAATAATAATATAAAATGATAATATTAAAGAAATTATTAAAATATAAAATAAAGATAAAAGAAATCAATGAAATATAAAATAAATTCATTTTAATATAAATCATTTAAATAATTAAACAATAAAATTATTTTATAATAATGAAATATTTCATAAATATAATAAAAATGAACAAATAAAAGAATATAGAAAAATAAATAAAAGAATAATAAATAATAAAATAAAATAATCAATATATTAAAAAGAAAAAAAGAGAAAAAATTATATATATAAATAAAAATTATAAAAATAAAAAAGAATAAAATAAATTATATCAATAAAATAATGATAAATAATTTGCATCAATAAATTAAACACTTTTTTTATTACATATTTCTAATTTCTATAATAAAAAAATGCATCATTTATTTCATCATTATTTTCATCTTTTATTATCTCATTTTGAATTATTCTTTTTTTATCTTCTTTCATTTTATATTCTCAACTTTCTTATTCTTTTCATCATCTTCTACTTCTTAATTTCACTTTTTTTTCTTTCATATCCTTCTTTTTCATCATTTCTCTTCCTTTTTCTCTTTATTTTTTCTTTTTTTCGTTGCCGTGTATTATGTTTCGACATAAATAATACTTTCAAATAAAATAAAATATAAGAATATTTAAAGTTCAAATAAAAAGAAGAATAGAAAATACAACATTAAATGATAAAGAAAGAGTTATATTAGGATATTATGAAATAATGATAGCATTAATGTGTTTTGATGAAATATAACATAATTTCTATGTATAGCATTATGTTTTGATTATTTGTGAGTGTGAATCAAAGGATATTGTTTTAATTCACTTTGAAATAATAAAATGTACTTTATTCTGGTTGTGCATTATATTTTGTATTAATTCTATCATTAAATTTATCTTTGTTTTGTTAGAGTTGTTATGATAATATTCTATAACAATTTAATGATAAAAATCCTTGTTTATATAATTACATTAGTTATTCTATAACTTATCAAACTAAACTAAATGTTTCTTTAAATTAAATTAGTCAATCTTCATATGAAGTTGTTGTGTGTTGATGTTTTGTGTTTCTGTTATATGAACCATCCATAAACATAAGAGAATCACTATCATAAGAGTTATTATTATATTGCAACAATTAGCGAGGATACGAGCTGAACAATGTTGGAGTTGAGCATAAACAACAACCCCAAAACCGACAAGAACACTTCCAAAAATTAAACTTACAATTTGAGCAGACCATGATTGAAGAATTGGATAGAGCAAACTAAACATTAAAATAAACTTGAAAATGATTTTCAAGTATTTTAGAGTTTGAGATTACGCAAAATGTTTGATTTATAAAATGTTTAAATAAAAAAAAACAATGAAAATTACAAAATAAAATCTCATTGATGAAATTTTATTAAAAATATTTTGTTTTTTGTTTTATTTCAAATTCAACAATTTAAATGTAGTATTTCAAAAAAAATACTATCACTATCAAATTAATTCAAAACTTTAATCATCATTTATCATTTGTTTATGAAATTACTATTACTTAAAATCTATCTTATTCATTATTACAATAATATTAATGTTTATTATTTATTTTGATTGAATATCATTGATATTAAATGTATAATTATTTATATAAAGATTGTAGTATTATTTACTTGTTATGATACATGTATATTTGTTAATATATATTATTTAATGAAAAAAAGATCTATTGTTATGGTTGATGTTAAAATGAAAATTAATCATAATAATATAGTGATAATGTTATATCCTTATTAAAAATGAAAATAAAAAAGAGTTTTAATATTCATTAAAATCATATAGAAACTTAAATGATGAATATTTAAATCAAAGATATCTAAAATACTTTTTCTAGATTAAATAAATAAAAAATGAATTTCTCTCAATCAAACAACTAAAAACTAAGAATAAACTAGTAGATAATGAACATACAATGTTAAATCAATTTGAATAATTTTCAATGAACAATACACATTAATTAACATTTAATTATCTATTTTTCATTATTCAAATATATTATTTACATTTATTTACATTTATTTTTGTTTAATTTGAAATATTCATTCATTAACATATTTCATTAATATATTATTTTGATTATTGATTATTTTTCAAATACATAATGAGTCATTATTTTATATTTGTTTTCATTTATTTATTCTTATTCTATATAATTGGAACATAAATCAAATCATAAATTAAAATAAGAAATAAAGAAATTATAATAATGTCATCATCACAATGAATTAGATTTAGTTATAATGAAAATAAGTAATTTGTAACAATAAATGATACTCATATTTGTATTAATTGAGAGAATATCATCAATAAATTCTTTGTAATATATAAAAAGAATAAACTTGTATAATATTTGATATAATTATTGTTTCATAACACAATATCAATGGAGTTAATTGAAGAAATGAAATATATATAAAGAAATAAAAATAGAATAAAGAAAAATAAGAGATGTTAAAATAATTGGAGGAGTAATCTCTATAATTTAATTAGTAAATACAGAAATTATGAAATTAAATAAATGAAATAAACATTATAAAAGAAGTTAAAAATTATCTAATAAATAACACAGTGTTATAAAACATTATATTTATTATAATAAATATATTCTAAAGAATTAATAGAATGAATAATGAAATAGATTAATCTCTAATGAATAATTAAAAATAGAAATTAATTCAATTAATATTTATTTATTTTCATAAAAATAAATAACATACAAATTTCAATTTATAATATTAATCAAATAAATAAATGTATCACTCTAAAATTTATTAATTTCTTTCTTCATTCATTTATGATTATTTAATAATGTTAATATATTCATCATTTCTTGATATTTCATTATTAATATAACAGAATTAAAACATTATTCTGAATAAATTAATTAAATACAAAGAAATATATTCAGTATCTGATATTTATATTGAAGAATATAATAAAAACATAGAAATAAATGAAAGAGAAATAAATAATATTTAAAATAATATTTATAATACATTTCAATTTTTTTATTATTCATAAAATATTACTCAAAGTGTGATATAATAAATAAAAGAAGAATATTTATATTATATTAAATAGTTTAAATCAATTAATTATTGAATACAATGAAATAATTTATAAAAAGATAAATTAATTGAAAAAGAAAAGATAATATTATTGTTACAAATCAAAATGAAATATTTAATGATAAATCAACGAACTTATTATCAAATATTCTTCATAGTTATATTATTTTATTAAAATATCAATTATTATAATTTACTAAATTCATCAATAAATAAATACAAACATTTTTTTTAATAAAGAATTTGATATTTTGTGTTAATAAATATTCAAATGTTTTTTGATATAATATTTCATTCTGTTAATTTAATTAGAAATAAAACTTGTATTTGCATTGAATATGATTTATTTATTATAAAAAGAAATAGAAAGAATATATTCAAATTATAATTAAAAAAATAAAATGAATTCATATTTTATTTGTAAATAATAATAATAATGAATTAATGATAATAATTAATAATATTGAATATTGAATATAATTTTATAATAATATAATTAATAATATTTAATGATATTCAAAATATAATTGATGAAATAGAATATAATTATTTGTTATTAATATAAATAATAACAATGAATATAAAGAAGAAATAAATGAATTATATAATATGAAAATTTATTCAAATAATGAATAATTTATTAATTAAATAAAATGATTTAAAATAACAACAAAATGAAATATTTAATAATTATAATTTATTAAAAATAAAAATAATTATCATTTTATTTTATTTCTTATTATTTATTGTTTTTCATAACAAATATCAATTAATAAAAATAGAATGATGATAAAATAATAAAAAAGAAGAAATTAAAATATAAAATTAAATGAACTAATAAAAACAACTAATAAATAATAAATCAATAATGAAATTAGGATATAATGAAATAATGATAACATCAATGTATTTTAATGATATTAATGATTTTATTAATTTAGAAATTGGAATTAAAAGATTTCAAGGAAATATGGAACAATTTCATTTTAATCCAATTCCATTAAATGAATATTCAAGAAGATTGTTTCCTAATATTGAAACATTTCATATTTATAATAAAGATGATGATAAAATATTTAATGATGGAAAAATATTTAAAAAATAGTATGATATTTAGTAAGTTATTCATTATATTTAAAAGAGAAAGAAGAATGAAATATCTGTAAAAATATAATGTATACAAAATATGATAGAGAAGAATATGGAACTACAATACCACCAGAAGTTAAATCACTTGGAGATTGGTTTTTAAATATTGTAATGAATTGAAATCTATTAATATACCAACAACAATTACTAATTAGGAAATGGTTGTTTTTTAGGATGTATATCATTAACATCAATTAATATACCATCATCAATTAGTGAAATAGGAGATTTGTGTTTTTGTAAATGTACATCATTAACATCAATTACTTTACCATCATCAATTAGTAAATTAGGATGTGATTGTCTTAGCGAATGTTCATCATTAATATCAATTAATATACCATCATCAATTACATCATTTGGAAAATCATGTTTTTATGAATGTGGATGTGAAGATGAATTAAAGAACAATGAAACAATACCAAGAGATTGTTTTGACAAACACCAGTGAATGAAATAAAATATAATAAATGAAATACAATTTAATTTGAAGTAAAAATAAATTATAATTGATTATCATTTGTATTATTATTCTTGCCTTATTTATTCTTTTTGTTATAATCATTCTTTATATTTGTTTTATAATTCTCTTTTTATTCTTTATTTCTTTTTATTCTTATTTGTATATTCTTATTCTTTCTTTCTTTTTTTATTCTATTTCTTTACATCTTTTATTTTATTTATTTTATATCTTTATTTTCTTTTGTTTATTATTTCTTATATATTTTATCTTATTTATCTTCTTATTTTATTTGTTTTATTTATTCCTTTTATCAATATAGAATATACATCATATTTTGTTGCCATGTTATTGAGTAATGTAATAGAGTCTTGTAAAGAAAATTAAACAACAAACAGGTATTCATGTTCAAAGAAAAGAATGAAATAACAATAAAATGCATAATAATAATGGTAAAAGAAATAACAAGAGAAAAATGAATAGAAAAAGAAAATACAAATAAAAACAAATAAGAAACAATGTAAATATAATGATAATAAACATTATACAAACAAGAAATCTAAATTATTAACAATAAATGAAATTGAAATAAAAATTAAAAGAATAAGAAGTGGAATTGAGGAAGGAGAATATTCAAAATTACTTAAAAAGTATGAAGGTAAAGAAATTGTATAATATTCTCCAAAAAGTATATTCAATAATAAAATAATAAAGAAAATCAAAGAAGAATTCAAATAGAAAACAAAATAAAAGATGAAGATATTAAAATAAGTGAAAAATGAATCAAAAACAAAAAACAAAGAAATGAAATAAAAGAACAATAATAATAAATTAAAAATAACATAAATAAAAAACACAAGATAAAGAAGAAGAAGATAACAAATAATAAATTAACACACTTCAAAATAAAATCAAAGAAATAGAAGAAACTATTAAATAACTTCAAACAAAAAAGATGGAAGAAGAACGAGTCATTTCAAATGAAATGATTCAAAAAACACGAGATACAGTCAGGAAAGAGTTTGAAGAAGAAATAGAAAAGATTCAAACACAAATAAACAATATTCAAAACACATATAATGAAATAAGAAAACTCTAAATTAAAATAATAAAATAAGACATTACAATGAAAAATAAATGAAACAAATGGTAGAAGGAACATAGAAGTAGGAGGTAAGGATGAAACCATCCGAACACTCCGAGCTAGCTATGAGAGGCTGAAGAAAGAGAAGGACGAAGTCCTTAAAGGTGATTAGCTGTTGAAGAAGAACACAATAGATAAATAAAATCAAATCATGATATCAAAAAAGTGCGATTCAAAACTATGAGATTGCAGAAATAACAAGAAAAGAATTAGACAATACACAAAGAGAAAATGAAGAACAAAATCAATTAATATCAAAACAACATGAAAATATTGAAAATTTTTTATCCCAGAAGGAACTGGAGAAGAAGAAAACAATGACTCTAATGATAAATACACAACCAATATTGAGAACATCATCATCTGGAACAATACAAATGAACCAAACTACAACTATGAAAAAGACAATTCTGGAAATAGAAGAAGAAGAGAGCAAAACACTGAATATCAAAAAAAACAAGAAATGATAATCAGTCAAGAAGAGAAGAAAACACAATAAATCAAACAAATAGAATTTTAATTGATGTGTTGTGTTGTTTTGAACTAATTTGTTAAATAAGAAATTAAATAAGAAAATAAGATGGGAACAAATAGAAAATATAATAAAAATAATAAATAATAATGTAAATAATGAGAAAGAATATATTAATAATATTAAAAAGTCACATAGAATAAAATAAACAACTAAAAGATATATTAAAATGAAAGTGAACTCAATCATAGAAAATAGAATGTAATTCAATAATAAAAAACATAAATATGAAAATAACACTACTGATATTGATGATGAATATATTAACTCTATCATCAATCAAGTTAAATAAATGAAAATAAATTAATTCTTAATTTAGAATGAAAGATATAGAAATTATGATAATATCATCATCACATTGGATGATTTAATTTTAATTATGATAAAAATAAATAATTTGAAATCACCATATATTGATATTATATATTTTATTAATTGAAGAGAATATTATCATTATGAGAATATATTTTTAATATATTTAATATTTGGTTAATTTTCAATGAATGACAAATTAAAAGATATCAAAATAAATACAATATTAATTTCAATAAATTAATTAATAAATATAAAAAATATTAAATTAATTAAATATTTAAAAATTCAAATTAATATTATAAAATAAATTAAAAAATATTATAATTAAAAATATGATGGTTATCATTGAATATTGTTTCTAATATAACTAAATATATGTTATGAAACTATTAGAAAAATATCATTAACTGGATTAATCTCTATTCTTCAATTATCAATAAAAATCAAATATATTAACATTTAATTAATTTTATATTATTTTATTCTTATTGTTATTCTTCATTATTTATTATTTATTATCATCTCTTCTTCTTTTTTACTATATTTTCTTCTTTTTATTTCTCTTTTATCATTTTAATTCCTTTGTTTCATCATTTTCTTTTCTTTTTCTATTTAATTCTTATTTAATTTATATCTTATCATTTTTATTCTTTCATTTGTTTCTCTTCTTTATATTCATTATAAACCATTTTTATTTAATCTTATACTTTTATTTCTTTGTACTCTCTGGTTCAATTACAAAATTATTTTAATTCTAATTTTATTGTTATCCAATGTTTTTATATGATTATACATATTATTTTACTTCAAAATACATACAAATTTATAATTTAATACAATAATCACTTCTTTATAAATAACTTCTCTATTATATATACTAACTTCTAAATTAATAAAACAGTTGATATTCAATTAACTCTTTGCTTATTTAAGGTTATTCTTTATTTAACTATTTTTGTATAGTGTTCGGTTCGAATAATATGAACAAAATACCTCATTCTCATTATCTGAATATACTATTTTAAATATTGTAAGATATTCTGGTAAAATGAAAATAAATAATTAAATTTATCAGTTGAAAATATACTAGAAACAAATGTTTTCAATTAATTTTTGAGTATTCATTCTTCTTTAATTTTAACTTGAAAAAACAATAATGTATGACCTTAGTACCAAAGTGAGACATTTAATGAAAAAAGAATCAACATTATTTATCATTATATTATTTAAAAGATGTTTACAAATAATTTTAAAGTCTAAGAATCAAAGATGAACTAGATTTATAAATATTAGATCCTACTTTTCTTGAATATAAATTTTAATGATCAAGATGAGACATAAACCACCCATTTAATAAAATATCTACATGGTGTTTTTTTCCAGATTAATTGCTTCTAATCAAATTTCTTAATTTACAAGATGTCTATTAAATATTATAAACTGTTACTAACGAATATAAAAAAAAAGAATAAAAGAAGAACAACAATCATTTACGAATTATTGTAAGAATAAGAGAATGAAACCAAATAAAAAATATTGTTAAGAAATGAATCAAAAGAACTAATTAAAAGTATAAATTAAAAGAAAATATTATTTATTGATAAAAGAAGTCGTAAAAATAAACAAATAATGACTTTACAATTCAGAGAGATATTACTTCAAAATAAGACAAAAAAGTAGTTTTAATACTTTTAGTGATTAAAATTAAATAAACTTAAAAAAAAAGAGTTGTTGAAGGGGTGTTGAATAAAAAAAAATATAAATGTTCATAACTTTGAACTTAAATCAAATAAAAAAGTTCATTCTTTCATTTAGAAACTAATTATTTAGAAGCACAAATTTTTCTTTAGAATTACAATTAATTTTTATTAGTTTGATAGAAGAAATACTTTTACTTGTGAAAGAAAGATAAAAAAAGTGTAATAAATAGTTTTATTATTTGATTTCAATGGCTTTTTATTTGTAATTGTTTGGGGTTCCAATTGAATTGCTCACTCATAAGGCAATTCACTAAGCTCTTACACACAACAAACGCCATATTTTAAATAAGACCAAAACCCTTTTTTGAGAATTATTAGAAAGAATAAACATGTTTGTAAAGATTTGTTATCTAGTAAAAATGAGAGAAAGATTTCGTTCTTTAGACAAATAGGAAAAAAAATCAAAAATGAAGAAAATCTAGTAAAGGCAATGAGAAGGCGAATAAAATATCAAGATAAATCCTGTTCTAGAAAGAAAAACAAAGTTCATTGTAAATAATAAAAAATATAAAAATACAAAAAGTTTATTTTTGAGATCAAATAATGAGAAGAGAACGCTGATTTTTTTTCAGACCAATTAAAAGGAAAAAAACCATATTTTTTGATTTGTAAACTATTTAAGAAGGAATACATATAAGCTAAAAATAGAAGGAGTTTTAAATTTAAATGAACTCTTTATTAATAAAGAATAAAACAATATGGCTGACGAGAACGAGGAATACGAAGAAGAATATGAATATGAAGATGAAGAGTATGAAGATGAAGTCGAGGAAGAAGAGGAAGAAGAATATGAAATTGTTGAAGATGATCAACTTGAAGCAGACTCAGCAGCCAGACAAGAAGAAATGAAGAGACAAATGGAAGAAGAGATGAGAGCCCTTGAGGCACAATTTGAAGCAGAGATTGAGGCTATGAAAGGAGATGATGAAAAGTTAAAAGAAAAGATTGCCAAGAGAAAGCAAGAAGTTGCTGCAGCAAGAGCACAAAAAGAAGAAGAAGAAAGACTTGAATTTGAAAGAATTGCAGCTGAAGAAAGAGAACAAGCAGAAAGAATTAAGAGAGCTATTGCTGAAAGAAAGGCACAGTTAGCCCAAAGATTAGAACTTGATGAACAAAAGAGACAAGAAGAGTTTGAAAGAATTGCAGCTGAAGAAAGAGAACAAGCAGAAAGAATTAAGAGGGCTGTTGCTGAAAGAAAGAGACAACTCCAAGAAAGAATGGAAGAAGAAGAAAAACAACGTGAAGAAGAATTTAAACGACAAGAGGCTGAAGAAAGAGAACATGCGGAGAGAATGAAAAGAGCTATTGCTGAGAGAAGAGAACAACTTAGAATTAAACAAGAACAAAGAGCCCAAGAAGAACAAGCACTCTATGAAAAAGAACAAAAAGAACTCCAAGAACGTAAGAAGGCAATGAGAGAAGCAAGAGAAAAACAAAAGAAATTAAGAGAAGAAAAAGAAAGAAAGAGACAAGAAGAAGAAAGAGCCGCTTTTGAAGCTGAACAAGAAGCTGAAAAAAGAAGAAAAGAATCAATCAACAATTCTATTGCTGCTGCTAAAGCACAAAGACAAAAAGAAGAAGAAGAAGAACGAGCATTTATGGAGAAAGCACTTCGTTTAAATCCAAATGCTGATCCAGAGAAATTACAACAAATGAGAAAACAATACTTAGAAAAGAAAAGACAAATGGAAAAAGCTCTTAAGCAAGGAGCAGCAACTGGTGGTGTTAAGAAGGTTAAGAAAGTTAAAAAGGTAAAAAAAGTTAAAAAAACAACTAACGAAGATGGTACTCAATCAAATGTTAAAAAAGTCAAGAAAGTTAAAAAAGTTAAAAAGGTAAAAAAAGTTAAAAAGGCAGTTGAACAACCAAAACCTGAAGAAACTCCTAAAGAAGAAGTTAAAGAAGAAACAAAACCAGTTGAAACAACTCCAAAAGAAGAGACAGTTGAGGAAGCTCCAAAACAACAAGCCACTGAATCTCGTGAAGAAAGAGAAAGAAAATTAAAAGAACAACAAGAAGCTCTCCAAAAGAAGAAAGAAGAAAGAGAAAGATTGAGAGCAGAGAGAGCTGCTGAATTAGAAAGAAAGAAAAAGGAACTTGAAGAGCTTAAAGCTAAAAGAGCTGCTGCCGCAAATAAGTAATTGTTTGGGAGTGTCTTTATTTAAATTTGAATCATTTCTTTTTTTATTACATTTTTATGTTTTTTTTTGTTTTTTAAATGAAAATCTAATCAAAAATCAATCAATTATTAATATCTCCAGATTTTAATAGTATGATCATAAGATGCTGTTGCTACAGAACTACCATCAAGTGACCAATCAATAGAAAAGACTTCATCCAAATGACCTGGTAGATTTGTCATTAATTTACGACATCCTGGAACAACATTCCATAATTTGACTGTACTATCTTTACTTGCACTTACAAGCATTCTACTATCTGGAGACCATGCACAGCCATAAATTGTTTGGACATGTCCTCTATATGTATGTAAACAAGATCCAGTAAATCCATCCCAAATTCTCATATTTTTATCACATCCAGTACTTGCTATAATTCTACTATCAGGGGAGAATTTGCAAGACATAACTTGACTTGAATGTCCAACAAGTCTATGGATTGGTTTTTGTGATTGTAATGGCATCCACATATATAATGTTCCATCATCACTTGCAGAAACTAATCGTTCACCACCACCACATCCTATTATTTTATTTAATCTTTTTTTTGCACCATCAATTCCTTTATCTTTTTCTAATGGATCATAACCTCCTTGTCTAAGTACATATTCAGTAGAAGTACTAATACTATTAATCCAATGAGAATGACCTTTTAATACATGAATTGGATTTGCTTGTCTCATATCATAGATATTAATCAATCTATCTCTTGATGATGTATATAATATATTTTCATTTCCACTCCATCGTATACTAGTTACTCCTTGAGTATGTCCTCCAAGTGTTCGAATAACTTCACCTCTTCTAGCATCATAAATTTTACTTGACATATCACGTGATGAAGATGCAAAAATAGCAGAATCACCAAATACTTCAGGTTTCCATTGAATATCACTGATAAAATTTTTATGACAATATGACCATAGTTGTTTTCCATTTGTTCCATTTTCATTTAATTCCCAAACAATTACTTTTCCAAGTTTATCACCACTTGCAATTAATTTATTTCCATAATGCCAATCTAAATTTAATACCCAATCTCCATGTCCTTTTAATGTACAAATTGGAGTACATGTATTTAAATCCCATACTCTAACTGTATGATCTCCACTACATGAACCTAATTTACTTGAATCTTGTGAAAATTTACATGATAAAATTGAATTACTATGTCCAGTCATAGTATGAGTACTTCTTGAAATTGGTCTACATCTAAAAACTGCTTGTGGATAATATGTAATTGTTACAACTTGTTCTGATCCTTTATTAGGGATATTATCAGTTATTTGAATACCATCTGTATAAAATGAATAAGGAAATGGTTCTTCTTCTGTTTTATTTAATTTATTTACTAAAGCATTTAATTCTTTTGTATTAGTTTCTTCAGGGATTTCAAAAACTTGAGAAGGTTCTGAGTTAGGTATTTCACCATTAATTAAACGAATTTGAATACGTTCCATCAAAAGTATCTTTAATTTTTGATTTTGATTTGAAAAGGGTTCTTTTTTCTTTTCTTATTTTTTCAATAAATTGAGACTTATAATAATGAAAATTATATTGTAATATTATTTTATCTACTTAAATCTTAAAAATTAATTATTTTCATTTAATGTTCTTCTTCTTTCTTTTATTCTCATCTTCTTTTAGTTTACAACAAGATGATATTATTCTTCTTCCACGTTCATCTGATGGAACAATTAAATATGAAATTTCTAATGAACAAATGACTTCTTCTGATGGATTTGTAGGTCATTTTTGTACTACAGGAAATATTCCATCTTCTCTATTATTTCCAAAAGAAATTGAAGAAATTGGATTATTAATGAAAAGAGTAACAGAAAAAGTATATCAATATTCTTCTATTCGTGAATTTATGAGTGAATATAATTCAAATACATATATGGTTATTGGTAAAGCACCAGAAAATATTATAAAAGAAGTTATTTATAATTTTACAGGATATAATGTTATACGTTTTGGTAAAGTAAATACAAAAATTTATAATCCAATTACAAATATATTCTATGGAATTAATAATCAATTAGAACATCCTAATGGATTTTTTTATACTTCTCATTCATTATCTTCTGATTATAAAGATCAATTTCCAATTTCAGGAATATTTGAAATACATCAACATGTAGATAAAACTAATAATTCTTTTAATGAATTAAAAAATATTATTGAAAATCATCTTCAAGAAATGAAAAAAACATGGAATTTTGAATCTATTGGTGATCGATTTTATATGAAAATTAATGTTAATTTAAAAAATAAAACATTTGAATATTGTGAAATTGATACATTTGAAACTTCTTCATTTAAATCAAATTATCCAAAGAAAACAGATAAATATAATCGTAATATTTATTTCTTAAATTCATGTGGTATTGATTATTATAATAAGAACAGTACTTGTAAATTTACTCGTTTTAGTGAAAAAGGAAAAAATAGTGAAATGTTTGATTTTGATACTCTTCAATATACACATCCAATTCCTGTTTATCTTCAAAGACTTAAAGGTGAAGGAACTCATTTAATAACTGAAATAACTACTCTTAATTTTAATACAACAAATAACAATGATACTTATTTAATTTATACTGTTCCACAAGGTATTTTTATTGATAAATATCAAATGCAAGAATTACAAAGAAAACAAAAAGATCTTGAAGTATTTATGTATGAACCAATGGATCTTGAAGCTCCTATTTTAACTGGAAGACAAGCCCATGTTATAATAAAAACATTAAAACAAACAAAGCCTATTTCAACTCATTCAATTCCAATTCATCTTAGATATCATAAAGCTAGAATTAATGATATGTTTGAAAAAAACGTTATCTTCCCACCTCCTGAAGTTTTCTTTATTTGTGATAATTGTACTGATAGTAGAAGTATTGAACTATTAAAATATCATAAAATTAATGGTTATTTTAATACACCTATCTCTTGTGGAACAAGTGACCCTTCTCAATTTATTTCACCAACTTGTATTCCTCAATTCTCTCAATACACAGTACCTGTAGGACAACTTGATGCATTTGAATCAGTAATGAAAATCACTCTTGGAACTACTTTAATCGGTGCAATTATAATTATTGCATTCGTTATCATTTTTTAATTGAAAACCAATTTAATCAAATAAATAAATCATTGTTTCATATTCAATTAAATTGACAAATAGAATAGCATTTATAAATACTTTCAATTCTAGAATTTAAAAATTCACATTTTTGTTTCTCAGTTAATAATCCACTTAAGTCTAATACACTTCTTATGACTAGATCATTTAAATATAATTCAGGAACATTAAGTCCATTTTCTATTATTAATTGAAGTAAAGTAATATCACATGAACAATCCCAATTTTTAAGAGAACAAATAGGGAATGGAATCATAATTTTTCTTATTACCACATAATCATAAACATGTGATAACACTTTCATTTGATCATTTGTTAATGTTATACTTAATCTTTCTATTGATTCTATTTTATTAACAATATCTTGTATCATTTTACTTGATAAAGGTTTAAATATATTAAAATTAATATTCCATTTAGAGACATCAGTTCCAAAGAGTTTAATACCATTTTTAATTTGTTCAATAACTTTATCTATTTTAGATTGATTTTCATTTCCACTTTTATTTAATTGGTTTTCTGTCCTAATTTCATTGGAGTTTGTTGAAGGCAAAGAACTTTTATTTATATCACTATCTAAACCAGGAATTTTTGAGGCGTTTTGAAGAGGTGGTTGAGTAGTAGAAACTTCCTGAAGGTTATTTATTTTTTGAGGATTTAAATTACTTTCTTTTTCTATTAGAGAGTTACCAGTTATTGGAGGAATTGAAGAAAATTTAATTAGTTTTTCTTTTATAACTGAATGAACTTTTGAAGAAAGTTCTTTTGAATATTGTATTGGTTGTTTTTGGTGACTAGTTTTTAAAGAACAAGAAAGAGGTGATTCCGTTTTTAGTTCTGGTTTAGGGAGTTTAGAGGAATTGAATTGATTTTGTTCTTTAGATACTTTTAATTCAGGAGGTATTGGTGGTAGAGGAACATATGACGTTTGAGGGTCATTAACAGTTTTGTATAATCTTGTAAGAAGATGTTGTTTTTGAGATTTAATATTTTGTTCAAACTCTTTTGATGAAATTGAACTAATCGAATTAAAAGGAATGACTTGTTTTGCTTGTTCATGAATAAGAGAAGGCTGTTTGTCAAGTGATTGACTTGAAGATGAAGGAGGTTCTTGTATTGGTTTTTCTTTTAATTTATTAAGAGATAGAATAATTGTATTTTGTTCTTTTAAAGGAAGACTAGATTGTGGTTTATTAGAAGTTGATTGAATAGGTGAACCTTTTAATGTTATTGAATCAGAAAGAAAAGGTTGAAGATTAGATGGGTGATTTAATGGAATTGAATTATTCAATTCAATTGAAATTTTATAATAATCACCACTCATTAAATAAGGAGGATTAACTCTTTGATTTAATTCAATACATTTAACTCTCTGAATATCATCAATAAAATCAATAGAATTATTATTAATGTCAAGTACTTGAAGAAGTTTAGAAGAAGAAAAGAATTGATTAATCATTTTAATAAAATCCTTATCAGATGAATGAGTTCTATTTCCGAATGTAGTATAAGAGTTAATGTTACTAAGAAGATATTTATTATAAATTTTATTAAGTTCGTTTTGATTAAAAATAGTATCTGTTTCATTCATACTTATTGTAATTTCATCAATACTATTTTTTCCAATAAGTCTAAAATACAGAATTGGTTTAGTTGTAGCAAAACCAAATTTATTTTTATTTAATGTTTCAAGTAATGGAGAATAATCAGACCTTAAATCAATAACAATATCTATAAAATCAAAAAATATTAAACTAGAATTTGTATTACAATCAATACAAACAACATTATAATTTGATTGAAGATTAATATTTTTTTCTTTATAAAATTGAATAATTTCAGTTGCTTTTTCTTGTGAATTACATTTTAATAATTTACAAATAGCATTATTTTTTTGTGCAGATGAGTCCCAAGACATAATATTTATTTGATATTTTTCTAATAAATTAGTAAATATCCAAGAAGAGTTTGCAATAACTACTACTTTCTTTTCAGTTGAATGGAAAATTTTAATTAACTTTTCTACAAATAGAAGTTTACTACTTGACTCTTTTGGATTTAAATAAAAACTAGAAGATATTCCAGTTTTAATCATTTCAGAACAAATTAATGATATTTTACTTGGTTCTATAGTTAATGACTTTGTTAATTCTTTTAATAAATTTTGTTGGTTTTGTGTTAATGAAATATAACAATCAACGTATTTAATTACTGGTTCTTGTTGTTCGAAGTTAAAACGTATTACTTTATCACTTATTTGTTGTTTACAAAGAGAACGTATTAATGAAGAATTAATTTTACTATAAAGAAATACATAAGAATTATTAATGACTGTTGTAAGAAGTGATTCAAATCGAAATAGGTTTGAGTCAATAAAAATAATATCAAATGAAGTTCCACTTCGAAATAAAAAATGAGGATTTGATAAAACTACAAAATTACTTCTTATTGAGGAAGTAGAAGAAAAATAAAGTTCTCTTTCTAATATTTTTTTTTGTTCTTTACTCAGACGATTTTCTGTTATAAAAGTAATTAAAGCCGTAGGAATTGTTTTGTATAAATTTTCTTGATAAAATCCTAAATTTTCTTTGTCAGTAATAATTAAAAATGGACCTTTAAATCCTAAATCCATTATTTTTTTTAATTTTTTAAATAATTTAAATTTGATTGAATAAGAAAGTGATGGTTCTTTAGAAGATTTATTCTCAATTATTACACTATTTGTTTTAAGACGTTCAAATATTTTATAACAAACTTCTCCTATTCTTTTATTTTTTAAATCTGTTCGATTAAATAAATTAATTTCACAACTTTTAAGTGGTTTAGGTGAAAAAGGTGAGTTTTGATATTGAATTAATAAATGTTTATATTCTTCTTTTTCAAAGAAAGAAATTTGTTCTTGGCTTTCATATATATTTCCTTGTGACTCCCATTTTACTGAAAACACTTCTTGTTGTTGTTCATTTTTTCTTGAATCTATAATTTTACAAGGTAATAATTCTTTAGCTGGTAGTAAAGATGATAAATTAGGTGTATAAGTAAATTTATTAACAGTATATTCTCTTAGAAATTGATTATATAAATTTCTATGATCTATACCACGTATTGAAATTAATTCATCTTGTAATACCCAAGTTGGTTGTTTAATATATAAATCATCCCATTCTACTAATACAAGATACGTTGTTTGAGGTGGTTGAATAAAAGAGTTTTGACTAATGGAATAACAAGGAAATACATTTCTAGCAAAAGAAGGAGAAGAAGGACCGTCGATAGTAATAACACGATAAATATGTAAAGGTTTAGTGGTTTTCATTAATAAAACTAAAGTTTTTTGTTTATAAAAAAATGAAAAGAAAAAATAAAAGATAGAAAAAATTGTTAGTAAAATAAATCACAATAACATGAGTTACATGGTTGAGACTCAAGACTCTTTTCATGAAACTTATTCTTTTCTTGAAGAAATTTCTTTAGACTCTCTTCTTCCACAAACTATTTATTCTTACTGTAAAAGTCATCATAGTCAATACTTACTTTATCTTCCTTTACTTTTAAGACATATAGTAATTCAACCAAGATCAGAATATAAAATTATTTTAATTAAAGCTATTGTTCGAACTGCTATTGATTATGGAGATGTTTATACAAGAATATTTTGGCTTCATAGAGCTGGAGGTATTTGTGTATGTAGTGATCCAGTTTTTTGTAAATTAATTGAAGGAGGAATTGAAGGGTCATGTTATTTACTTCAATTAATCGATGAGAAAAGAAAAAAGTTAGAAGATAAAAGAGGAGAAGTAACAAAAAGTATTAATTACCAAAATGAAGAAATTATTACATGGATTGCATCTGCTCGAGATAATTTATTAACACTTCCAAAAGAAGCAAAAAGACCAACACTTTATCTTAATAGGAATTTTTTACCAGAAAAGATGAATAAATTAAGTGATGAAGAATTAAAAGAAGAAAGTATTTCAGTATTAAACTATACTGGAAATTGTGACCCTTTTCTTGGAGAAGGTGTTTTAGTAAAAATGGTAGCATTAAAATCATATAAATCAGCAACAACACCGATATCATTAATGTTTTATTATGCAGAAACAGAAAATGGACAACAAAAAAGAAGAAGAGTAATGTTTAAATATGGGGATGATCTTAGAAGAGATATGGCTGTTCAAGTTATGTTTAATGTGTTTAATGTTCTTTGGATGAAAAGTTCATTTTTAGCTCATCCTACTGCATTCGATCAAAATACTCCTTGTAAACCAATTGCTGTTACTTATTCAGTTGTTCCAACAGGACCAAGAGAAGGGGTATTTCAGATGCTTGGATGTATTGAAGAAGTATGTGCATGTGAAAAACATCCAGAATTACATTGTTGTCCAGATGGATGGGAATTTGAACAACTTTCAATGAAGAATAAAGAATGTCCAGTATGTTCTATTAATTTAAAGATAGATGAATATTTACCAAAAGAAATGGCAACAATGATTTCAACACTTTCTGGAGGATTTATTGCATCATATTGTTTAGGAGTAAGAGATCGTCATTTAGAAAATTGGAAATTTCATTTATGTGATAAATCGTTTGCACATATTGACTTTGGTTTTGTCATTAATTTAAGACCAAAATTTGATGCAAATAGATTTGCAATTCCTACAATTATTCGTACTTCTCTTAATAATACAACTGTTACTCTTGAAAAATCAAAAATTGGTGCTTGGGATTTATTCGTTCAAAATTGTACTTCTGGGTTTTTAGTACTTCGAAGACATGTTGGTATGATTATAAGATTATCTATGATTGTTTTTGGTTTTGATACTCAGTTTGATGAATACGCTGTAACAAAATGTCTTACTGACGCTTTTGCTTTGTCAATTCCAGAAAGTGATGCTGTGAATATGTTAATTGGAAATCTTCAAAATAGTTCTATTCAAAAGATGGTTAAAGATAAACAACATAAAGTTCTGAAATTTATCAGAAAATATTTCTAATTTAAATTTTATTTTGTTATTCTTTTTTACTTTTTAATTTTTTTTTTCTATTGAGTGTATTTATTTCTACAATTAACTCTATGATAGAAGTCAAATGTATTGAAGAAATCGAGGCAATTACTTTGGGTTGTGTAAACATTGATTTAACTTTTTAAAAAATCTTCGTAATAAAATTATACATTTTATTTTGTAATTACAATAAGGTATAATTTAAATATATTAAAATTACCTCGATTAAATAAACTTATACCATTTCATTGATGTACTCTTTTAAAATTGTTATATTCAGTGATATATATTAGCTACTTTATTATATTACTTCTATACATGTTAATCATTTAGAATTAAATTATTTGTTTTATAAATAATTATACATTCTTCTTTATAATCTTTTTTTCATGAAAAAAGGTCAATTAATAAATATATAAACAATTAGAGTATACAATTATGAGAAGTGATTTCTTCTTTTTCATCAATCTGCTCTACTTTTATATGAAAGTTTTTTTATACTAAAAAGAAAAAAGAAAGAAAAGTAAAAAAGTAACATAAAAAAAGAAGGAGAATATTCTAGTCATTATAATAGTTTTTTTTGTGAGTCCTTTTTGGTATTTATTTCAGAACCTTTTAAAAATGAAAATAATTAGATCAATTTAATAAAGAAACAGTGAATGATATTTATTGAATATCTTTTATTTCTAATCTGTGTTATTGAAAAATGGTTAAAATGATGAAAAATGAAAGTAAATTACCATGTTATTGAATTGAAATTCCATTTATTCCATTCTTCTTTACATAAATTATTCATTTCTTTCTCATGACATAATGCCGCAATTGTACAAAGAGTATTTTTAAGGTTATGACATTTCCAGAAATAATCATAACAAGGAATATTTATTTGTACTCCTCCATGTATTCCCATTGATGCAACCAAATCATTCTCTGGGATTACCACTCTTGTAAATATATTCATATTCTTCTTCTTGATTCCAAAACTCTTTGTTCCTAAATATATTCCAGGTGGAGAGATTCCAACATTTGCTAATCCAATATCACTTCCAACAACATTTGCAATTGCCCCTCCAAGTGAATGTCCAGTAAGTACAATTTGTATTGTTGATTCATTGTATTTATTTACTTCATTCTTTGCAATATTAATAAGATTATTATAATTGGTTGGAAATGCTTTTGACCCAAAAAACGACATTACATAACTCACTTTTTGAAGTGTTTGTTTTGTAAATAATGGAATGATATTAAAGGCTTTTGGAATTATGGCTTCTCCAAATAACTTTACATCTGAAATTAAATCATTTATTGAATCTGTTCCTTTGAATGAAATGATTTTAACTTTATTTTTGATATTATATCCTACAACATATGATAGCATTGATTCATCACTATGAAACTCTATTTCCCAACCTCTTCTTTTGAGATATTCTGTTATATTTTTTGATTGAACTGTATCATTCCATTTCTTTGAATATGCTAAATAACTCAAACATGAATATTCTATTAGTGTAATACCAAATGAATCTCTACCACATAAAGCTGAATGTTTAAACACATTATCAAGTGTTATTCCTTCTATTTTATGATTAGCATCATTAAATGAAAGATCATCATTTGTTTCATTGAATATCATTTTATTCATACCATTGTTCTTACTTGTAACATCTTGTTCATTTCTATTAGTATTAAATAGTCTTGGTTGTAAAATTAAAGTAATGATAATTGCCATAAGAATGATGTGTACTATTTCTGAATAATAGAGTTTATAGTTAAATCGCAACTGAATTGGTTGTTGTTCTTCATTTCCATCTTGATTATTCTCTTGAACATTTTCTATTTGTTGAATACCATGAATAACCCATGAACCAATGGAAATAGTAAATACCACCCAATACAAAAACATATTTTTATTTTGTTCATATGCTTCATCAGTGATTTTTTTCAAACTAGTGATAAACAGAATGAGTAAAATGATAGAAATGATAAATGAAACAATGCTGGTTATTGTTTTAATCATTCGAAGTCTTTTGAATAGAAGTTCATTAATGTGTTTTAACAATCCATAAAATGGAATACAATGAAGCAAAACATCTATAATTCTTTTTGTACGATTTCTTTGATTGACATTAACTAGAGCTATTCTAAAATTTCTTATAACTACTCCTATGAAATAACTAATAAATTCTAATGGACAACCTACGAGAATTGTACAACCTATTGATGTCATGATACTAGTTACTCTATGTTTTTTCTCATAAAATATCCCAATAATAATTCCAAGAATTACACTACCAGCTAACAAGATAATACTATCATGATTTATTAGCCATTGTATACAATTCCAAATATAATTTAAATTAACAGGTACATGATGTTGAGCATTTTCACCATAAAAATAAAGAGTGAAGAGATTCTTTATCTTTTCGTAGAAGACTGAACAGAGAGAAAATGATAAATTAATCAAAAGATATGGACCATAGAATAATAAGATATAATTAAAGAAAGAGAGATGATCAAAAGAAATAAGATTAGAAATAAATAAACATATTATTCCAAATAATGATATAAATAAGAATAAACTTAATAAAATATTAAAAGAGATTATAAATAATGAAAGTATCTCCATTTGATAATAATATGAAATGAATGAATAAGAGTTACCTTTTTATACCAAGAAAAGCGCTATCTATAGGATTATGATACCTCAGTTAAAAAAAAATACATGTAATTATGATTCACTTACAATCATTTCTTTATAAAACAACAAATAAGATAAAAATAAGAAGAATAGAAAGAAAAAAATCATTTGAAAGAGAAGAAAAAGAAGAAGTAAACTTAAAATATATCTTCAACCCTTTAAAGTAACTAGTCTTTTCATTGAGTAAAAATCATTTTTAAGTCAAAAAGTGTTAGCTATTGAAGCAAGGAAAGAATAATGAACTGGAGAACAGGTATAAAGTTTTTAAAAAAATAAAATGAAAGATTTTTTAACATAAAAAAAAATAAAAAAATTAGTAGTAAAAGATATAACCATAAATCCGTTATACGTTTAGAAACAGAGAATTAAAAAGTATTAATTAAGTGTTAATAGAAAAATTTTCTATTGTCCATTGCTTAGTGGAGATTAACTAATCCATTTGCTTTAAAGGTGTTTGTTTATTAACTATTAGTTTATTCTTTGATTTTAGTTGTTGAGTTGTGAGTCCTTTTCTCATTTTTTGATGTGGAATAGAGTATTTTAAACATCCATTACTTAAATATTCAATTAATTTCTATTTGATTTTGAGAGTATTAAAACTCTTCCTTATTTTCTTATTTTAAGGAGAATGTATAATTACTACTGTTAGTATTCTTTTTAGCATCACCCACCACACCCTTTTTCTTTGATAATCTTATATTATCAATTATACTTGTATTCTAACAAGTAATAATACCATCTTTATAAATACCCATTCTTTTACTATCAATGATACCACATCATTGTAATTAATAATCACTGATATTCTTACAGTATTGATTAAGATGTTTTTCTAACCAAACGCAACGCCATAACCAGTCCATAACTGGGGAATTGAATGATGGAAATATTTTAGGATTCTGTGTTGTATCTCTGACCTGCTATCTTCGAATCTGAGAATTAAAAAGAAGAAAAGTTCAATGTTATGTTAATATAAAAATAACATTATTGTTTATTTTATGTACATTTTCTTAACACAAGAAATAATTATTTAGTCCAGTTTAAATTAGTTCATGTTACGTAATTATGTCGTAATAAAATTTAGTCGTACTTCCTCTTTAATACCACTTTTTTTAATTTTAAAGAATTAAACTAATATAACACAACAATCAAAAATAAATAACACAAATATAAAAAATAATTTTTATATTTTAGAGAGTAAGTCAATACCCATCATGATAAATTGAAGGAAATTATTTGCTTCTTATGAAATAAAACCAAAAAACTACTTTATAAAAGCAATAAGAATTAAAAGAATAAACAAGAAATAAATTAATAAGTGTTGAAAAGAATAGTAAATCGTATAATTAATTAATAAAACTATTAATGAATAATTTGAAAAACTAAAAACTAAAAAACTTAAAAATATAGCAAAAATGGAAGAAAGAGAACCAATCAAGGAAACTCGTTATCATTTTGCAGTTCAATTATACCCATTTGCTGAACAAATAAAAGACAAAAAGAAAAAAAGTTTATCGTTAGATATTCCCCTAAACGAACCAAAAATGAGTGGTGGAGTTTGTGAGTATTCCTCTGAAGAAAAAAGTATTCCTGAGTTATATACAACAAAATTATCAAAAAAAAATATATCAATATTTCAACAATTTGAGGACACTTTTACAAATGAAGTTACTAAAGATAAAACAGATGTGTTTGAAGAAATTATGAAATATGAATTTGGAGATGTTTGTTTTATTATTTTCTTTTTAAACTTATTAGATTTAAAAAGTAATAATATTAATGATTATCAAAGACATTAGTTGAACATCCATTAGACATGTCAAGTAAACAAACATTTGATATCATTTTAAAGTTCTGTAAAAAGAAAAATGACTTTTCACCAACAACACAATCTCAGTTAGACTTTTCTTATGCAAAAGAAAGGGCAACAAATTATCGAGAAATTGTTGATACAATGATTATGAAAGAAATAGATCAACAAAAATTTACATTACTAGATTCACTTGCTAGTGTAAGTGATTTAGAACAATCGTTTGATAAAATTAAAGAAGATATGTGTGCATTATCTGAAAGATTAAAACAAACACAAAAAAATGTGAGATGGTTAATGTTAGGAAATATGAAAGAATATCAAAAATATCAAAATATAAGAATTGTTATTGATAAAATGCATTCAATAAATGAAGTTATTTCAGCTGTAAATGAAGTACAGGATTTAGTTGAAGAAAAAGAATATAAAAAAGCAATTCAAAAAATTGAAATGGCATTAGATGTGATTGATTGTAAATTAGCAGGAATTAGATGTATTAGTAAATGTGATTTTTATCTTAAACAAACTAGATCTCAATTAGAGAAGTTTTTAAAAAACCCAGAAAAATTTGTGTTCGAATTATTTAATAGAATTCAATTAGTAGATGAAGTTACATACGATTTAAAAAGAAAAACAATTAAAGAAGAATTTAAAGATTTAATGCCACAATTAATTGGATTATTCAAAACAATTGTTGGAAGTACTAAAATGGAAGGATTTATTGAGAAGTATTTAAAAAGTATTGAAAATATTAGACAAGACATTTGCTATGCATGTTTACCGTTAGAGTTTTTAAAGAAAGAAGAATATTTAACACTAGCTATGACTAAACAAAATGATATTGAATTACCATTAGAAAGAAATAATAATTTAAAAAATTTTATAATGAAATTAAATATAAAAGAGTTTAGTAATTATTTCTTTAATATTTTAAATAAATTTGGAGAAATGGAATTACGAGCGTTTCTTGTGTTTGATGTTTATAAAGAAGTTAAAAAAGAAGAAAAAGTAATTGAAAGTGATGAATTAATGTTAAAAATAAATGAAAGAATTGAAGATACAATAATGGAATATTCAATGTTATTATTATCATATGCAAATTTAAGAAATATTAAAAGAGAAGAATATAAAGAATTTGAAGAACGATATATTAAAACTATTGATCTTTTACAAACAATTTCAAATGGAACATTTGAAAAATTACATAAAATAAGATCTACTTTCTTTCAAATGTATTTTAGTACTTTATATATTTGTGGATTTGATGAAATGCTTAAAATTATTAAAATTGAAACATTTGTTGCTTTAAATAATTCAACTAATATTATTGACCTTATTACTAAATTATCTCAAATTATTAATCCAAGTGATATCTCTTGTAGAACCTTAAAAGTACAAGATAAAATACTTCGTTACCAAGGAGAAAATTATATGATCATTGGTTGTTTAGATAATGTTGCTGCTTTTACTGAATCATTTTTAGATGGATTTTCAGTAAATGATTCTACTGTAACTGATATGATCTTTGAAAAATCTAATCAAGTATTTAAAACTTGGATAGATAGCACTAAAGTTTTTTATTTTATTAATGTTTTAGCTTCTGAACCACCAACTGACTATGTTTGGAAATGTGTTTGTATTCATCAATCTATTGTATTCTTAATGAAATTAACTGAACTATTAAATATTGCATTTATGAGAAATGAAGATGACTTAAATTCATTAAATCAATATTATCAAAATGAATTAAAAAATATTAGAAATCAAATCATTCAATATTTCAGAGTTATTGTTAAAAAATATATTAGTAGTAAGGCTGAAGAAATGGAAGGTTTTCATAGTGCAAAACCATTACCAGTGCCTCCCAAGTTATCAGGATTAAGTAAAACCGATCCACGAAAAAAGCCATTACCACCATCACCAGGTAATAAAAAGAATGTTGCACCAATTAAAATTAACGATGTCATTGATCAATTAGAAAAGAATATCAATTTCTATATTATCAAATATTTTAATAATCAGTATAAAGAAGAAATTATGAAAGATGAAGAAAATGCTCTCAATTCAATAGAAAAAGATTTTTCTGGAAATTTAACAGAAGAGAATTACAAAACAAAAATTAGTTCCGATATTTCATTTATTCGAGAAGAAGTAGTTAAATCATTAATGGATTAAAAGTCATTTAAATGTCTTTTTCTTTATTCATTTATTTTTTTTATAATAATAAAAAAAATTAAAAGAAAATAATTTAAAATAATTAATTATTAGTAAATTAGAACTATAAAACATCATTGTTATCTCTTATGATATATTTTACCTCTATTAATTGTTGGCTTGTTATTCAAGATAAACGATATTCTGTATGGGCTGTTCTTCTTTTTGAAAATAATTTGGTTCTTAAGAAAATTAGAATTGTGTTAAATACAAGTACTAAAGAATCCGATTTATTAGTTTCTGGAAATGAAATTGCAGAATTTAATGGAGATGAAGTTGTTTTAGATTATATGCAAAACATTATTGAAATTCATCATTTACAACAACACTTAATATTAGAATTACAAAATAAAAAACAAACTGGATTATTAAATCTCTTTGTATCAAGAAAACGTGAAGCTAACACTAATGATTTTCTTGGTAATGGTTGTAATGAAGGATTTTATCATTTAACTGGGTTAACTGAATTAACATTAAATTCAAATCAACAATATGACATTGAACAAATTGATAATAATGTTATTGTATTATTTAATATTCAATCAAGTATTCAAGAATTTCATTGTATTCAAATTAAAATGAAATTAAGATCATTATTATTAAAGAAAAATAATCAACCTGACTTTGAAGAAGTTATTATTAATTTATCTCAAACACCAAATATCCATTATATACATTTTAAAACAAAATATAAACAATTATCATTAGAATCTACTTTATATATTGAAGCAATATACTCTAATGGAACAAATTATCTTTATAGTAAATATTTACTTTATTTATTTAATTCAGAAGGACTTTTTATTCATGAGAAACAACATTGTTTACTTCCAATAGAAGTTATTACAATTCCAGGATTTAATTCTGAACAAAATAATATTACTACTAATGAATCAGAACGAATAACAATAGATATAACTATTAATACTATTAAATCTATTTATCGAATTCCAAAAAGAGTTGAATCATTATGGGATCAATGTAAAGATTATCCTATAGTTGAAGAAACAATAACAAATAATACATTAATTGAATGTAAAAAAATATCATTAAGTGAAAATATTCCAGAAAGTCTTGCTCTTCATTTATTTAGATTTAGACATTATTATCTTCATCATTATTTTAATAAAATTGGATTTTTTGTATTAAAATCTACATTACAAGCAACAATAGAAACAGGTAAAGATTATATTAATAATATTATTGATTTTATTGAAGAAGAAAAATTACTTGATTCTTTTATTCAAAATAAACAATTTTCATTTATTGATATTCTTCCTTATTTCTCTACACAAACATATTCAATTGTATTAAAAGAAAGAATTGGTTATAAAATGATTCAAGTTATTAATATTAATCAAATTAAAGAATATATTCCACATATTATTGAAATTTTAAAACATGAACGAAATGATTTATTTCTTAATAAATTAATTCAATTACTTGAAGAAAATAATAATGAAACACATTTATTTGCAGAACAACTTCTTTGGGGTATTGTAAATATTATTGAAAAAAGAGATGAATATTTTGATTTATTTATTCAACTTTTCCATTCAATTGCAGAGATTGTTGTAAAATGGAATCCTACAATTATTCATGATATTAATTGTGCAAATGAAATGATTGCAAGAGTTGAAGAAATTAATGCTCAAAGTAAAGAACAAGGAATTGTTCAAGGAATTTTCCAAAAATTAAGTTTTACAAATAATGATATGAAGATTGAATCAATGAAACAAATGAATAATTTTAGTCTTCCATTTCTCCAAGGAAAAATTAATAAAATTAAATGTTTAAAACAATATAATTCAGCTAATAGACCTATGATTATTCCTGTTCAAGTTAATATTAATCAAACACTAAAAGATAGATGTTTTATGGTTAAAAGTAATGATGACCTTTTAAATGATAAATTAATATTAATTTTATCAAATTATATTTATAATGAATTAAAAACACAAATAGACCTTGAATATTTAACATATGATATTATTGAATTAGGAACAAAAAAAGGAATTGTAGAATTTGTTCCTGATGTTATTGAAATTGGTAAATTATTTGATCATTTTAAGAATTCATTCTCAATGATTATGGGAACTATTGTTTCTAAAGAACCAAATAAACAAAATATGGAACTTGCTAAATTTATTTATCAAATGAAAAATGATAAATTAGAAACTGATCAAACTGGAGAAACAAAAGAAGATCAACAAAAAATTGAATTAATTTGTGATACTATTACAACTGATGCTTTAAGTAGACAATTAAATTTTGCTAAATCATTTGCATTATGTTGTGTATTAAATTATGCACTTATGTTAAGAGATAGACATGGTGATAATTATTTACTTCAATATACAACAGGTAAAATATTTCATATTGATTTTGGTTATGTATTTGGTAAATTAGTTCCTGGAAAATCAGATGAACCTGAAATTACTCGATTTAGTGAAATTATGAAATTACTTGAAGATCTTCATTTAACTCAATCATTTTATCAATATGCTCGATGGGCATGGGAAAAAGTAAAAGAATTATCTCAAAATATTATTACTTTATTTACATTTATTTGTTATGATAGTATTGAACCTATTTATCTTAAAAATGTTAGAGATCGTTTGTTAAATGCAACATATGATAATTTCGTTCATGAATTAAAAAATCCTCAATCTGTTATTATCTCTGATAAAATTCAAGGAAGACATCAAACTTTTTCTTATATTAAACAATATTTTCCTTTCTAATTTCTTATTTTAAATATTCTTTTTTTATCTATCTCTTTTTGTTATTTTATTTAAAATATTTTTTTATAATAATAAAAATATTTCTTTTATTTACATTAATTTTCTATTTTATTATCTTTTAGTATCTTATTCTTCTCATACTAATCATTAAAACATTTCTTCTTCTTTGTTATTATATCTTATACTTTAATTACTTAAAACATATGAAAATCTTACTTTTGAATTATATTAAACTTTGTGAATCTTCTCAAGAAAATAGTCAATATCATTCAACGATTTCTTACAGGGTTAAAGAAAATAATACTCTTTAATAATCTAACTTAATGATATTATTTATAATTATTCATAATTAAATCATATTAATTACATATTTTATCATTTTAGAAAAAATAATTTAAAGACAAAAAAAAAAAATAATATAAAAGAATAATTAAAGTTATAAGAAAATAAGAATACTATTTACTTTTTGAATTGTTAAATTGTAATGAATAAATTCTTTCAAATAAAACAATAAGAAAATAAAAAGTAAATGTTATTTATTTTTTTTTAAAAGAAAAACAAATTCTAATCAAAGAAGAAAATAATAAAACCTTGCCAAAATCAAGTTAATTAAGCGTCATTTTCAATAAGACATTTTTCAGAGACGTAAACTCCATCAAGGAATTGTCTAATATCTTTGTTTCTGACAAGATTAGCAGCATGGATATTAGCAGCTGATTGTGAAACTTTTTCAACATCATTTCCTTCAAGACAAATTTCATCTTTACCAAGTTTCTTAACAACAACTCCATCATACATCTCAATATGTCTAGTTCTCTTTTCTCCAAGGAAGTTTTGGACTTGAATTGATTTACCATCATCAGCAATAACTAAGGTAACTGGGAAGTGAGCATATACAACTCTCATCTTATATTGATATCCTTTAGTAACTCCTGTAATCATATTTTTAATATGTGATGCAATAGTTCTAACAACAGCTGAATCTCTTCTATTTCCATACCACATATCAATAACAATTACATTTTCTTTTGGTCCTTCCTTCTTTACAACAAGTTTACTAGCATAAATATCTACTTTTGGATGTTGGAATTCTCTTGTGAGAGTTCCTCTTGGTCCAGTAACTTTAATATTCTTTCTATTGATTTCAATGGTGACTCCTTCTGGAATAACAACATGTTCAGTTTTCTTCAATAATCTTGGCATCTATTTCATTAATATCTTTCTTATTTTGTCTTTATGACTTAAATTTCTTTTAAAATTAACGAGCTATTTCTGATTATTTATTAAATAATCAAATCTCGTCTTCAACTCTTCATTTTAAAAAGAAAGAGGGACACAAACTTTTACTCACCAAAGTAATCAATTACTATAACCCTATTTTATAGTTTTCATCTTTTAATAAAACTATTAATACTTTTCTTATTATTTCTTAATTTTTCTTTTTATTTTATTTTTTAAATATTTTTTTATTTTATTTAAAATTTTTTTTTTTTGTTTTTCTTTATTTTATGGATGAACAAAAAAGAAATCTTTAAATACATCTCATAAAAAGATCTTGTATCTTACACTTCTATTTAAGAGAAAATGTCATTTACAAATCGTCCAACAATACCAGCAAGAACTATTGTAGAATCTATTCGAAGTGGAAGATTAAATCAAGTTTCAGAACCATTATTAGGACAAAATACAATTACACAAGAATATCTTACTATTCTTATTCACACAATGGCAAAAGATCCAACACGTTTACAAACGTATTTAGATCGACTTGATTTTACAAGTAATAATTTAGATATTGAAAAAACAATTTTTGAATTAATTGAAGCAGGAATGTCAGAAAATGCAAAGAAATTTGCAGAGAAAAGATCACCAGGAAGTTATATAAAAATATTATTAAGAAGTGCTATAAGTTCATCACCATATAAAGCATTAGAAATATATGGAAATATTATAAGTTATATTGATCATCAACAATATATAAATAAAGTAGAATTAATAAAAGTATTTGGCAAAGTAATTGTTGATTCACTTTTAGATTATAAAGAGAAAGAAGAAGCAATAAAAGATATAAAAAGAATAACAAATATATTAATAAATTTGTTTTTAGATAAACCAAGTAATGCAGCACGATTAGATCCAGGAGAATTTCTTCATGTTATGGAAAATTGTCAAAGTGAATTAGATGAATTCTTAAAGAAAATTCAATCAAAGTTTTCAGAATCAACAACACAAAATGATAAAGTAAATGAACTTCTTATTGAAATGGATTTAAAAGATGAATCAGATAAACAAAAAAATAAAGCAATTATGTTATATAAATCAAGAGAACATAAACAAGAACATATTAAAAATTTATTCTTTCAAAAAAGAATATTGGATGAAGTTGTAAATGATCCAGATGAAAAATTACTTTGTTTATTACAAGAACATAAAACTGATAAAATTGATGAATCAATGGATGTTGGAATTCATTATTTACCATTAATTTGTATGGCAGAAAAAGATAGTAATGAACATTCAATTGGATTTGAAAATGTATTAAAAGGAATTTTTCAAGAAAATAATAGTGAACATACTGCCCCTCATAAAATTATTTCTGTTCTTGAAATATTATCTCGTCCTGAAATTATTGAAAATATTAAATTTGATCAAAGTGTTAAAGAAAGTTTGAAAAATGGATTATCTTTTATTGATGAAATTCCTACATTAAGAGAAAGTATTGAAGAAAGACAAAAAAATTTAACTGAACATCTTGTATTTAGACAAACAAGATGTGCTGCTTGTGGACAAGAATTTAAAGATACTGAAGCTGATTATCCTATTATTCATTTTCATTGTGGACATTCTTATCATAAAAAATGTTTTACTAATAGTAAATTAGAATGTACTAAAGATCATGGTCCTAGTTCCTTAAAAGAAATCGGTGAAACAGAATTTGAACGAGCTATTAATACTACTGAATTCCAAGGATTTTATGAATTAATAAATAGTGTTTCTTCAGTTCTTGGAATAGAAGAAGACATTAAAGCTGATAAACTTGAAGATCTTGAAGACAATAATTCTCCTAAAGATATTCAAGATAATCTTCAAGAAGAACCTGATGAAGATGTTGATGAAAGTAATAAATTCTTAGAAAAAACAAAGAATTATAACCCATTCTTAACTGCTGATACAAGTACTGAAGCTATGAATTATGACCATTCTTCTGCTTATACTGGATCTCAATTTGAAAATGCAGATAGTCAAAATGACCCATTTTATTCCGCACTTTTTTAAAAGGAATTCTGTTAAATGGAATTTATTTTCTTTTCATATCAATTTCTTTCCTCTTTTTTATTTCTTTTTATTTCTGTTTTGTTTATCTTTATAACTATTTAACACACCATCTCATATCAATACATTAAAAATGAGTGTCAATGCAAATTAATTACTTATTGAAATGAGGATATATAAGATAACCAACAATATGAAATTGTATATATAATAAAAAATGGTTTATAATGAATATAAAGAAGAGAAACAAATGAAAGAATAAAAAATGATAAGATATAAATGAAATAAGAATTAAATAGAAAAAGAAAAGAAAATGATGAAACAAAGGAATTAAAATGATAAAAGAGAAATAAAAAGAAGAAAATATAGTAAAAAAGAAGAAGAGATGATAATAAATAATAAATAATGAAGAATAACAATAAGAATAAAATAATATAAAATTAATTAAATGTTAATATATTTGATTTTTATTGATAATTGAACAATAGAGATTAATCCAGTTAATGATATTTTTCTAATAGTTTCATAACATATATTTATTTATATTAGAAACAATATTCAATGATAACCATCATATTTTTAATTATAATATTTTTTAATTTATTTTATAATATTAATTTGAATTTTTAAATATTTAATTAATTTAATATTTTTTATATTTATTAATTAATTTATTGAAATTAATATTGTATTTATTTTGATATCTTTTAATTTGTCATTCATTGAAAATTAACCAAATATTAAATATATTAAAAATATATTCTCATAATGATAATATTCTCATCAATTAATAAAATATATAATATTAATTCATAGTGATTTCAAATTATTTATTTTTATCATAATTAAATTTAAATCATCCAATGTGATGATGATATTATCATAATTTCTATATCTTTCATTCTAAATTATGATTTAATTTATTTTCATTTCTTTAACTTGAGTGATGATAGAGTTAATATATTCATCATCAATATCAGTAGAGTTATTTTTTATGATAATATTTTTTATTATTGGATTACACTCTACTTTCCCTTCTATGATGGAGTTCACTTTCATTTTAATATATATTTTAGTTGTTTATTTTATTCTATGTGACTTTTTAATATTATTAATGTATTCTTTATCATTATTTACATTAATATTTATTATTTTTATTATATTTTCTATTTGTTCCCATCTTAATTTCTTATTTAATTTCTTATTTAACAAATTAGTTCAAAACAACACAACACATCAATTAAAATTCTATTTGTTTGATTTATTGTGTTTTCTTCTCTTCTTGACTGATTATTATTTCTTGTTTTTTTGATATTCAGTGTTTTGCTCTCTTCTTCTTCTATTTCCAGAATTGTCTTTTTCATAGTTGTAGTTTTGTTCATTTGTATTGTTCCAGATGATGATGTTCTCAATATTGGTTGTGTATTTATCATTAGAGTCATTGTTTTCTTCTTCTCCAGTTCCTTCTGGGATAAAAAATTTTCGATATTTTCATGTTGGTTTGATATTAATTGTTTTTGTTCTTCGTTTTCTCTTTGTGTATGGTCTAATTCTTCTTTTGTTTTTTCTGCAATCTCATAGTTTTGAATCGCACTTTTTGATATACAGAGATTTGATTTTATTTATCTCTTATGTTCTTCTTCAATAGCTCAGCACTCTTAAGGACTTCGTCCTTCTCTTTCTTCAGCCTCTCATAGCTAGCTCGGAGTGTTCTGATGGTTTCATCCTTACCTCCTACTTCTGTGTTCCTTCTACCATTTGTTTCATTTATTTTTCATTGTAATGTCTTATTTTATTATTTTAATTTAGAGTTTTCTTTTCTTATTTCATTATATGTAATTTGAATATTGTTTATTTATGTTTGAATCTTTTCCATTTCTTCTTCAAAGTCTTTCCTAACTGTATCTCGTGCTTTTTGAATCATTTCATCTGAAATAGTTCGTTCTTCTTCCATCTTTTTTGTTTGATATTATTTAATAGTTTCTTCTATTTCTTTGATTTTATTTTGAAGTGTGTTAATTTCTTATTTGTTGCCTTCTTCTTCATTTTTCTCTTCTTTATCTTGTGTTTTCCTTTTATTTTCTTTTTCATTTATTATTCTTGCAGCTTTACATCTATCATTCATTTCTTTGATTGGATTTTTGTTTTTGATTCATTCTTCGATTGTTTTAATATCTTCACTTGTCCAATCTTTTGGTTTACCTTTGATTTCTTCTTTGATTTTCTCCAGTGTTTTCTTCTTTCTTATTGAATATACTTCTTGGAGAATATTATACCAATTTCTTTACCTTCATACTTTTTAAGTATTTCTGAATATTCTTCTTTCTCCCATTTTCTTGTTATTCTTTTAATTTTCTTTTGAATTTCTTTTGTTGTCAACCATTTATGTTTCTTGTTTGTATAATGTTTATTATCATTATATTTACTTTGTTTTTTATTTGTTTTTATTTGTATTCTTCTTTTTCTATTCATTTTTCTCTTGTTATTTCTTTTATCATAATTATTATGCATTTTATTGCTATTGAAGTCCTTTCTTTTCTTTGAACATGAATACCTGTGTCTTGTTTGCTTTTCTTTACAAGACTCTATGGTATTACTCAATAGCCATGGCAACAAAATTTGTTGTATATTCTACATTGATAAAAGGATCTATAAAAATAAAAACTCAAAAATAAATAATAATGGGAATAACATCATCAACACCAAATAACATATCAAATGATAAAACAAAACAAGTAATTCAACAAATAGAAGAATTGACAGAAAGAAGAATAAATGATGTTATATTTGATTCAGATATTGATGATTGGAATATGAATACATCAGTATTTGATCAAAGAATATGGAATAAAGAACATATAATAATTATTATTGAAGATACAAAAGGAAATAAATTTGGAGGATATGTTAATGTGAAAATTGATAAAGTTAATAAATATATAAATGATCCAAAATCATTTTTATTTTCATTAGAAACAAAAAGAAGAATACAAAGAATGATGAAATTTGATATTGAAGAGCCACATTATGCATTTTATTTATATAGTCAATCAAGTAATTATTTGTTTGTATTTGGATTAATTGATATTACTGTTTTTAAAGAAAATTATAAAACAGAATCGTTTTGTAATCAAGATTCATTTTCATATAAAGGAATAACAAATCCACTTTGTGGAAAACAAAATCCAGAATGTTTCACACCACAACGAATCATTGTAATTGAAATGAAATGATTTTTATTCATTATTATTTATTTGAAATATAAAAACTAAAAAGAATATAAAATCAAATCAATAAATGAATATGAACAGCCATTTCTTTCATCTGCCAATGAATGAAATGGTGAATATAAAAATGTTCATATTTCATTCTTGTTTTATTTTATTTTATTTGAAATATTCACATTTATTGTGTTAATTTAATAAATAATAAAAAGAAATAAGAATAAAAGATAAATAAAAATATAATAAAATATTTATTTTATTCTTTTTTATTTATTTTTTATTTTATTTATATTATTTATATTTATTTATTTTATTCTTCTTCTTTTATCTTTATATCTATTATATATTTCTTATTTTATTATTTATGTTATATTCTTATATCATTTTTTTCTTATTTTATATTTATTCATTATTATTCATTTCATATTAACATTGTTAAATATCAATACAACATATAATAAATAAATGATATAAAATAAACAACAATAAATAATAATAATAAAATATAAACAAACAATATAAACAAATACAAAATAATAAAATATCATCTAATATAAAATAATAATAACAAAGAATAAAAATGATTATATCTTATTTTATTATTATATTCTTCTTTATATTCTTCAATATTTATAATTTTATATTTATTTTATAGAAATATCAATACAAGAAATCAACATATGAAACAATGTTCAAATACACTGACATTATTGTGATATTGAATAAACAAATAATATCAAAAAAATTATTGACAATATCATAAAATACCAATTATATGTAATAAATAAAAAGAATAAAACCAATATTTATTTGATATTAAATTGTGGTAAACCACAATATTAATAGAGCTTATTGGAAGAAAAGAAATAAGTATAAAGAAATGAATAATATGATAATGAAAATAAAGAAATTAAAAGATGTTAAAATGAATGCAAT